TTTAGACAGCATCACTGAAATGCAACTAGTTCTTGGTGAAAGGGCAGCAGCCACTAGACAGGAGAACTGCAGGGCAGCTGGGAAAGAGAGAACGAAATTTTGGTCAGGAAAAGCAGTGGGAAAGCTTCTCTCCCCCTACCCTCCCCAAAAGACATGGTACCTTCAGTGCACAGAAAACAAACCACTCACCTTTTCAAGTCTCACCTTAAAAGTCCCATGAAAACAGCATTTTATCTACTTAAAAATAACAAAGGGACGGTTAGTTCCAAGTTCTTAGGTTAAGCTACTGTTCAGCAGCTTTAATCTCACCAAACTCAATACAACTGTGCCTCAATCCTGAATCCCAATTGCCTTCTACTGCCACAGGTTTTCTTGTAACAAGTCTAAGATGCTGAAGACTGAATTCAAACTTCATCCGTCAAACACTGCTTAGTGCCTCTCATGTTTCAATTACCATAAACCGGTGGTCTGAAATACCCTGTCTCACGTTTTTAACTCATTTTATGTTACACATTTATCATCAGTTAGGCCCGCACAGGCATCTGAATTTACTGGAGAACACGGATACGCCTTATGTGTATGCAACAATGATCTTCACATACCTAAGAGCCGGAATTAAATATGCTGCTGTGAACACAGACTATATAAAAAGATGTATTTTTCACTTCTAGATGTAACTGCCTATAGCTGACACATTCCAATTTCAGTTCTCCTCACACTGGTCGCTTATGTATCACAGTTACTTAATAGCTGGTGCTAAAACACCAGTACAGATAGAGCTGTTCAGAGCACCACCGCTATTTCAGCTAAAGGGACGAGGGGATGTTGATTAGACTGCCTCCCGCCAGCGCACTGGTCTTCCAGCAAACCTTCCCCTTCTATTTACAGCCACGAAGCCACAGTATCTCTGCTCTCATGAGCGGAACCACACACGTGTGCACCACACACAGTTACTCAATTCTACTCAGCAGTGCATCATGCGGGGTATTGAAACAACTCGGGAGCACTGCAAAGACGAGCTTTCCCAAAACATTATCCTAGAAATGAAATGGGACGGCAGAATAAGTTTCATCTAACCAACGCACTCAGGGGTTGAAGGCTGAGACCCAACAGACACTTTCCAGAAAGGAACGTTACCGTACTCACGCAGCGTCTGTGTTCTTACCTCACCTGTGCCTACCAGTAACTGCCTCTCGGGCTCTTACCAGCAAAAACTCTCCCTTTTTGGCTAGCCTCAGCTGTATGGTGCTGCAGACATTTCACTCTTCCCGTTATGCGGTGCAGCTTTTCAGTCCACAAACATTTTAATGCAAGAAGTTTTTAGGAACAGCCAAACCTCTTCAAGACTTTTCCTTCCTGACAAGAACATGCCCACGGTTTAGACCAATGAGCTTTGACAACACCACACACTATTTCTAGTGCCATACAAAATTACTCACCACATTTCTGTTCTCTTGCACAGCCATCCTTTGCTATTCAGAAAAGATTCTGAACACTAAGGAAGAAAGTCCCATTAAACCTTTATCATTTGTGGTGTTCAGTTACGATCGCCTAACAAAACAGGAGTTACTTTTGCACATTGCCCGTTTCCCCCTTTATTCTTTAGTGAACTTAAACCTACCCACAACGGCGCGTCCGTCTCTTCAGCGAGCATGGAATCACAACGTTCCCACTGCCCGACAGAAAACCTGGCACAGCCCCGGCAGGTACGTATTCAATGCAGCCAGTGGAGGCAGGCGGCAGGCACAGACAGGCAAAGCCAGACTTCTGCTAATAAACGTGGGATTTTTCCTTTTACAAAAGGCACTTCATTAAATACAGGCCTCTCCTGCGGGAGCCCGGCAGCTGCACCGCTGCTCTTCCTTCCCCAAAAGTTGCCCCCTTGGACGCGGGCGCACGGCCCTGCACAGGCACCTCCTGGGGAGCCCGGCACCTCTCCCCTTTTGGGGGGACACGGGGCACCTCTCCCGTTTTAGGGCGGGGACATGGGGCACCTCTCCCGTTTTGGGGGGGGGGGGGGGGGGGATGAACACGGCACCTCCTGTCCCGTTTGGGGGGGGGGGGGGGATGATCACGGCACCTCCTCCCCCGTTTTGGGGGGGGGGGATGAACACGGCACCTCCTCCCCCGTTTTGGCGGGGGGGATGAACACGGCACCTCCTGTCCCGTTTTGGGGGGGGGGATGAACACGGCACCTCCTGTCCCATTTTGGGGGGGGGGATGAACACGGCACCTCCTCCCCCGTTTTGGCGGGGGGATGAACACGGCACCTCCTGTCCCGTTTTTGGGGGGGGGGATGAACACGGCACCTCCTGTCCCGTTTTGGGGGGGGGGATGAACACGGCCACGCCGAGCGGCGCGGAGGCGGTGGGCAGAGGCGAAGCCCCTCCGGCAGCCGCCGCCGCCTCGTCCCTCGCGCGCTCCCAGACCTTCCCCTCGGGCCTCCCCCCCCCACCCCCGGCCCGGGGCCGGGGCTGCTGCGGCACCGAAGGGAAGAGCTGGGAGCCAGGCGGGGTTCGTGCTGTGAATCAGTGCACAGGCACCTCCTTGGGGCAGGGGGAGCACTGCGAGTACTGGATGATTTTGTGCCGCTGTCAGAGCGAAAGGAGAATTTTCCTGCTGCGGGGCTGAAGTGGCATCTGCTGTGCGGTTGCCTGTGGCTTCCATGGCAGCAGAGAGATTCCTCAAAGCTCTTTCCAGTCCGTTTACCCTGAGTGTGGGCATTAACGTTTTCACTAAACATCTCCAATCACGGGGGGGGGGGGGGGTTCCTCAGACAGTGGGGTGATGAGGTGGAGGGTCAGATCTACGCGTGGGGCAGGGGCTGCGTTACCCCCCCACCTCCCGCTGCAGGAATGCCCGCTGGCAGGGGCGCTGTGAAACAATCCTCAACCCTTTAATGACCGAAGTAGGAAAGAGAGAGATGGGAGAGGGCTGGGGCTGGGGCTGGAGCAGGCGGGTGCGGGTCGCATGTCCCAGGGGTTGTGCCCCACAGCTTCTGTGCCCAGCTGTCAGAAGCGGCCGGGGGGGTGTGGGGCACTCTGCCCCCTGGGGTCCCTCAGGGCTCTGGCTCGCTTGGTGGGCACGCTGCTGCCGTCGGATGCTCTGCGCTTGCTGCTGCCCACCGCTGCGCTGTCCCTGTGCGGCAAGTGGGTCCAACCCCCCCGGGGCTGCCTCCGCAGCGCCTCCCCCACCAGTGGGGCCCTGAGGGGCGGATGACACTGGGGGGCAGCCGGGGGGCTGGCCGGGGGGCTCAGCAGCAGGATGCGCAGGTGCCGCTGGTTGAGAGACGGGACGCAGCTTGATGCAAGCAAAGTGTCCGATTTATTGGGATTCTTCACGTACTTTTATACTAGTTCCTAGATAGCGTGTTGCAAACTAATTGGTTTCTTTGAAGCATGCCAAAGATTTATTGGCTTACATTCTACATTAGGCATTCAGAGATTAGCTAATGCTAAAGGCTTTTTTCTAAACTTTTACTTTCTAATTGCAACAGTCCTACCTACAAAAACAATAACTCCCAGTTACAGGACATCTGTTCCACAGCGCCTAATCTTAACACAGACACCAAGTCAGCACCCCCTGTTCCTCCTACACGAAGTTCTTATCTTATCCTTCCCAAGGCCTGTGGCCGACAAGCCCCAGCACGTCTCCTTCCATCAATTGTGCAGTGCTGGGGGTTTTGCTGAGAGCAGCCAAACCCTGCCCTACAGTCCCCAGTATCCTCTAGCTTCATCTTGGCTCGACAGAATATGATCTTTCCTGGTGAGGGAGACTCTCCAGACCTACTCTGTTTCAGTTTGTCAGGGGCCCTGAGAGTATTTTTCCTGTATTTTGGCCAAACCCGAAAATCCCAGTTCGCTATCCTGATCGGAGCCCGGATCTATCCTCTCATCAAACACCTGCCTGTTTTCTTGCAATTCATACTGGAAGATTTTCTCTCAGTCTAGTGAATTTGGCAAAATTGCATGAAGCCTCTGAGGAGTGTTATGTTCAGCAGTGAGATGACTTTTCAAGTTTCTTATCTGCTCTTGCAAGCACTCAATTGTCTCTTTCTCTGCTTGCTTTTCCTTTCCAGCCGCAATTAATGCAGCCCCTAGAACAGCACAGACGGTTGCTTTTCCTTTCCCCAATCCCAGTTTTCACTCCTTTGCCAAAAGCGTGATCCTATCCACCAATGCTTGCCAATTCTTTTGGGCCCAAGCCATGCCAAGAGGAGAGGACAGGGATTTATAGCCCTTCAATTTCTCAAGAAGGGGCTTCTCTGCTATTGTTGGATCCCCAAATCGATCCCGATAACAACTGTTACACAATACAAAAGGGTTACTCTAAAGTATTCAGCCTAGTGTGCGGTTACGGACCCAGTGTGGATCTTTCCAAGAAGATCCACTGTCCTCTCTCCTGTCAGGCACTTCCTTAAAGAAGGGGCCATGCTAAGGGCCCTGATCCCTTCTGGTTGGATCAGTATCACAAGGGCATCCTGTCCGTGACGACAATTTAGAAATGCTGCAGCCCAAAAGAAGCTGTTCAAAACAGCCTCCCTCCCCTTGGGACCTACGACCAAGTTTGAGATACTCTCGTACTGAATTGAGGTGAAACACCACCAGCCAACCCGTTTAACAATTTCTTAATACAAAAGACATGGCAAGGGGTTAGATACAAATACTCAATGGCAACTTCTTAACTAGGTAAACAAGTCCCATGCTTACTTGGAGCTAGTTACAATTTGTTAAAGAAAGGAGAATAGAGAAAGAGAGAGAGACAGAGACAACTTGTCTGTTAGATTTCCCTTCCCTTCCTTAATACAATGCTTAAGGAACCGTCCTGGATCTTTGTGGCAAGCACAAGTAATTAAGAACCTCGGCGTCACAAGGATGAGGCAGGTCTTAATATTCAGAGCGTATCCACGCCTGTACTTATTGTTGTAAGATGTTTCAAGACTCCCAGCAACGTACATTTTCGGTTACAGTCCCTGTATACGCACAAGACTCATGAAATACTCAAGCTGTCTGAGAGAGGGTATTGACATAGCCAAAAGCTTCAGCATGATGAGGTTCTGCAAAATCAAGTTCTTTCACATAACGGTTTTTATTAACTTTATGCTCCACCTTCCTGCATGGAGACTCCATAGGAGACAAGAGGACGGCAGAGTTTGGATCACTTGGAGTTAAGTACACTAGGGTAGCAGAATCATGGACGCTTCCAAGAGAAATTTCACCCAATTCCTTCAGTGAAGCAGGTGGGATTAGAGGGCAGGCATCTCGAGCTCTGAAGATGTTCTGAATGAGCTACTCCACATCTAGGCTCCATGGCACCAGGTCAGTTGGGATGGCCTGTTCCACCATCACCTTGCTGATTTTCTCCTCCTCCTGAGAAGAAGTTGTTTTTTCATCCAGAACATTTTCAAGCATCTCTTGATACACAGCAGAACTGGAGGGAGCTGGATCGCTCGACCCAGAAGTTGTGGCGGTCAAATGCTCTTCAAATGAGTCAGTCCCGTTAGCGGTGTCCTCATTAAGAAGCAGCCCACTGCCTGCCACCTCCTCCAGAGCTTGGTCCTCCGTGGTGAGGCTGCCTGGCATCGTGGCACACAACGCTAACGGCTTCCCCTCTGAGTCCCACGTGGACTCCAGGCACTGCTCATTGTTGGAGAATGGCTCAGAGACAAGGGTCCTGAGCCCACCGAGCAATTGTATGATCAGAGCCTGCTCTAGCTGCTGATGCTGAGCCTCACCAGGGTTTGCCTGCAGCTGCTCGCAGCTGCTGATACCTGAGGAATGTCAAGGACGCTTCAGCCCTGTGTACCGTGGTGTGTCGAAAACAGGTTAAGGGGGATTAGGAATAGTGGTCTGAGAAACCTAGTGTTATGATAACGGTGGTCTGAGAAACATTGTGTTACGGTACTGTCGTGTATCGAAAACAAGTCAACAGGAATCAGAAATAGTAGCATGAGAAACTTAGTGTTATGAGAAGCTTGTGCTGTAAGCTAACTGCAAGTAGGTGGACCGTGCGAATACGACCCTCAGAGCTTAAGCCAATCAGCTAGTGACTAGTAGGCATAATTAGTAGAAAGATTATAAAAGGCTGTAATGAAAATCAATAAACTGAAGCACACTTTATCACTCATACTGAGTCGGCTACGTTCTTCCTCCTTGGCTGGGTCCTCGGCTCGCCCAGCCCGGCAATTGGCGCCCGAACAGGGACCCTCGAGAAAAAGGGTCAACCGGGAATAAAGGGTCTCTCGAGAAAAAGGGACCCTCGTTGAGGCAAGAATAAAGGGATCCTCGAGACGAAAGGAACCCTCGTTGAAGGACCTGGCTGAAGGACAAGGAGCAGTGCGCCGGGGGCAGTGACCGGCGGGCAAAAAGAGCGACCAGAACATCACGTCCTGTGGTGTGTCGTCTCCGGCCTGAACCGATTGAAGTTCACCACTGCAAGGGCTACAGGCTGAGGGCTGCAAGGATATTATAACAGGTATTAAGGTACATGGATTTTGAAGTAGCCCTAGATTTATTACAGAGCTTTTTAGAAAAGCGTGGGACAGATAGTAGTTGCATTAAACAGCTAGCTGGTCTAGTGGCAACGGGCAAAACAAAAGGGGTGCTTTAAGGACTCTGATCTGTTGTTTGATGAAGAGGAGTGGAGGAGATATGGAGATATACTATGGGATATGGTAATAGATGAGGATAAACTTGCTAAGAAATTAATGAAACCTTGGAGGGAGATAATCAATAACATTTAGCGCCATAAGGTTGAGAAGAACTTGGCTGTTTGCTCCACCGCGCAAGAAGCGGCAGAGGAATCAGGCGGCGCGGGGGGACAGGGGGGAGCGGCTGCCGCCCGAACCTCTGCCCCCCCCCCCCCCTTCGGATGGTTCCGCCCCTGACGGCGCGTCAGCGTCTGAGTCGGAGAGAAAAACGGCGGCTGTGTCCGAATTAAAGCAAGAGGGTCACACACCGGTAAGGGACAGGGACAGAGTCCGAGAGCTTGACAGAAAATTACAGAAGTTGAGCTACAGAGCAGAACTCTGCATTTACAATGACAAGAAGAGGAAGCGCTGCCGGCAGCCCCCCCACACCCACTCCCGTCACCCTCACCAGAACCAGCTCCGCTTTTAGCTCAGCCCCGATGGAGTGGGGGGATTCGGGGTGCCTTGTTAGAAGGGGACTGGCATGCTGCTGGGGCGTTGGCCTGCCTGGTAGTGACAACGGATGGGGGACACCCGGGAACACAACCCCACAAGATTCTCCTCGGGGGTCTGGAGACTCCTTACGAACTTTAGAACTCTGAACTGTCCATCTGGGTGTTTCAACATCAACACTGGTATCAAAAACTTGTACATGTAGTATCAGAGTTCATTGTATGTTGTGGGTTCATTGCAATGTTTAGAACATAGCATGGTGAAACCTGTATTACATTCTGTATTGCATACTCTGTTGTTACAATTGCTGACACTTTTAAAACTGTAAGGATGGTTTTCTTGCTACATAAGACTGCATAAGATTGGAACATGGACTGACAGAATGGTTACGAGACTTGGGAATTTGGAAAATGGACTGATGATGGTTGTAAATCTACAAAACTTGGAAATTACTAAGTGGCTGAAAGCTTTGTTGATGCACAGACTGGCAATGCCGATTGTCATTATGATTGTCATGATGGTATTGGGGTCTGTGTGGAAATGCTTTATGAATGCTATGATTCAAACGTTAAAAGGAGTCTGGATTGTCCAAAAAAGAAAAAGGGGGAAAAGCTGGTAGAAATTTTTTTTGCAGAGGGATCAGGGTTATGCACTGATCCTACAGGGTTTGGACAATCCAGGCTGGGTCTCTGAGCAGAAAACTGCCACATGGTAATCCTGCCCTTGGGATCACCTGGAAGGGCAAGAAGGAGGAAGTCAATCTAATGCTTCCTCCCTGTTTCGAATGCCTGGATACACTAACTGCACAGTAGATTTAGTTTGCTCACACGTGCTAACGATGCAGACCTATCACAGCACTTCTGGGTGCGTGATAAGTGCCTTTAGCCAGTAGATTGTAAGCCTGCATGCCTAAGTTGTGCCTTGTCATGTATTAAGGAAATCTTTGAACATACGTTGGAGCAGGCTCTGCTCATACAAAAAGAAAAAGGGGGAATTGTTGGAGAATGGCTCAGAGACAAGGGTCCTGAGCCCACTGAGCAATTGTATGATCAGAGCCTGCTCTAGCTGCTGATGCTGGGCCTCACCAGGGTTTGCCTGCAGCTGCTCGCAGCTGCTGATACATGAGGAATGTCAAGGATGCTTCAGCCCTTGTGTACCGTGGTGTGTCGAAAACAGGCTAAGGGGAATTAGGAATAGTGGTCTGAGAAACCCAGTGTTATGATAACGGTGGTCTGAGAAACAGTGTGTTACGGTACTGTCGTGTATCGAAAACAAGTCAACAGGAATCAGAAATAGTAGCATGAGAAACTTAGTGTTAGGAGAAGCTTGTGCTGTAAGCTAACTGCAAGTAGGTGGACCGTGCAAATACGACCCTCAGAGTTTAAGCCAATCAGCTAGTGACTAGTAGGCATAATTAGTAGAAAGATTATAAAAGGCTGTAATGAAAATCAATAAACTGAAGCACACTTTATCACTCATACTGAGTCAGCTACGTTCTTCCTCCTTGGCTGGGTCCTCGGCTCGCCCAGCCCGGCAGCTCATCTCTCACAGAGCTCTTCTGAGCCATCCCCAGGCCCTGCACCAAAGCTTCCAGTTTCTTGTTTGCAATGCTTATGCCTATGAAGTATTTCTGAAATTTTTTCTCTTTCTCAGCCAAGCTGTTTCTCATGCTTTCAACAGCCTGCTGGAGTTCCTGACTTTCCCTTCTCGCTTCCCAGAAGTGCAGCTCCAGCTCCACATGCTTACACTCTTCCTCAACCCAGTCTTCCTTCATCCGTGCCAGCTGAGCCTTGAGCTCTTCTATTTCTGTTTCTCTGCAGCAAAAGCAAAATGCAGTGGCAGTGCTGTGGACAGTCAGTGAAAGAGTGCAGCGCTTGCCGTCTGGCCTCCTGCCTCGCCCTGGAGGCGATGGGAAGCGGCTGCCCAGATGCGTCCCCCGTGCCTGCCAGCAGCTCGGCACCTGCAGCCAGAGCCAACACGGGCCTCGGGCACAGGACGGCTCGGGGCTGCAGCCCCCGCCTTGCTTTGCACCCACCCAGCCCCGCGTGGGGCCAGGGGCTGCTGCCTTGGCCTGCGAGGAGTGGGGAGAGGGGGCCCCCACGTGAGATCCAGCCCGCGCAGATGCGGAGGTCGGGCGATGCGAGCGGGACCAAGAGCTCCCTGGGCCTCTGGCCCTGGGGCTCCGTGCAGAGCCCGCTCTGTGCCCGCCTGGGTTGTGTGTCACTGCCTTCGCTTCGCGTCCATACAAAGGGCTGTTGTGAACCATTCAGTCCCCAAGGGGCAAAACCACCAGTGGGCATGCTGGTGTGTGTAAGAGCTTTTCTTTCACTAGGGGAGAAGGGGGACATTGGTAGCCATCTGTCTCTGAGCGAGGTGGAACAGGAGATGGAGCAAATACATGCTCAGCAGGTAAAAACCGCTTGATGTAGAAAAGGTCTCAGTGCTAAATCAGCCTGGTAAAAAACTACCCTTTAAAAATATTCTATTGGGCAAGTTCAAAAAAAGGGAAAAGAGACAAACAGCTGTATTCTTAACTGAGCCGCACGGTACGTATGCACTGAGCATCATGATGAAACCTGAAACAACTGATGAGTCTGATCATATTTCAAATTTCTTCATGAAATCTTTACATGGTCAGAAAATGAGGAAAAAGGTCCTGGATTCCCACACCAAAACGCTCCTGAGTAAATTGTTCTAACTCTGGTTTCTGAAGTGAGATATACCTTTCCTGAAGTTTGCTCTCAGACTCCTTCAGCTTTGTTTTCAAATGCTGTACTGTAACTTCTTTCTGCTGCATGATGACTCAAGTACTGCTCTTGGTTCTGTGGCTCAATGCCGTGGTTGTCACCACAAGAAATGTATCTCCCTGATCGCCTGGAAAGGGAAGAAACCCAAACCGTCACAGAACATCACTCCTAGAGGTCTTCAGTCCTGCCAAAAAGAGACTTCCCATAGACCGATACAAAGCTTGACTCATTTGGGGCTCCCCAGTGTCCTCACAAGTGGCTCCTCTGGCAAATCAACATCCTTGAGGAAACAGCTGGTTTGTGGCTGTCATGCAGAGTTTACTATCTGCTGTCCTTGGTTTCAGTGCCATGCCAACAAATGAGACATTTAACTTTAAAATACTTTTACAACAAAAACTTTTTAGAACTAAAAAACCTTCTTTTTTTTTTTTTTTCCTCCAAATACAGCTCTTTTTTTGTTTCTTTCTCGTATCACAGTTCTCATCTGTGTTAGTGTTGCCTGAGAGCATAGTGTTACCCAAACTGTTTTAACACTCACAATACTGATGCTGTATGTATTAGCTGCAAGACCAGACCTAGTCGTCTACCTCTGCACTAGCAACACTTGCACTATCCCAGAAAAAACTGCTGTGCTTACTTGAGAGAGAAAGATCTTTTGCTTCCAGCAGCAGACATGGGGACTTCATGCGCTGAAATAGTGCCTGTGCTGCTTGGAGAGATGAAATTGGCTTCACTCCCTGGAAAGGAAAAGGGAAGATTGGAAACATGATGGAAAGTAGAACACAAAGACTGTTTTCCAAATAACAGCGAATCACAAGCATTCTCCCTTTGTGCGTGCTGGGTGAACTTTAGAAGTTGCATGAATTTTCAACCATCCCTAAGGGCAAGCACTGGATTTTCAACATGGCTTCAGAACTGGCACTTCCAGAGGAGCAGGAGAAACATCTGGACACGAATCCCTGATGCTACAGAAGCCATGTTAGGACTCGGTGGGGATGTCTTGCACCCCTCCATACCCGGGACCCGTGTCTTCACAGCCTTAAAGAGGGTGAGACATCCACCAACCACCCTCACCTTCTGGCAGCTCTTAGCAAGCGGTCTGAGGATCAGCCCTGTTCGGATTTAACCCAACACTTTCCCAGCCTCCCCATGTGCCAGCGTTGGGATCAGCCCCTGTTTCTCTGTGCCTCTCATTCAGCCCAGCCCAGATATTCCTCGGCCCGAGCTGAGTGCTGAAATGCACAGCCCAGCTTGTGCAAAGGGTAATCCCAGGGGCCCAGTTTCACCACTGCTAATCAACTCCATGCCTGATGATCAGACCCAAGTAGCCACAGCTGGAACCAAATCAGAGCCACCTGCAAGTCTGCAAGGGAAGGGAGGGAAAGCAGCAAAGCCTCTTCGTGTCACAGAGTATTTATATCATTCCTACAGATGCAGGTGTCAGTGACCCTCCTCCTTGGGGAACCAAAATGACCGTGGGACACAATGTCTGAAGCTTCCACAGTCTTTTCCTGATAAACAAAATGCTCCCATCTAAGAGACTAAGATACTAAATGCTCTCTTGGTATCACGGTCCTCCCAAATCTAATTTTCCAAGCAAGACCCGAATGGGTAAACACATCATACAGATTTCATACCTCTGGTGTTCAGGCCCCCATATCATTCCACCCCTTTAAAGATGCCAGCAGCTTTCCAAAGCCACGTCCTGGCTGTGGCACAGAGAAGAGGAGCCCTAGCCAAGAGTCATCTCTGGTTAAGTAGAACACATCATAACCAGATGTCGCTATCAAAAGGTTTTTGAGGAAACGAGGCTTAATAATAGCCTCTCCCTGAGCCGCCTGGCTTGCAGCGTAGTGCTGGGAAGGGCTGCCGAGCTAGGCACGGCTGGTAAGAGTGAGCAGAGCCTGAAAATGGAACCACCCCAAAGGCTGAGCTTTCTGAGAGCGTGAACTGCATCTGAGACCCAGCGATGTGTCTGCAAAGCATAAATTAACCTGTCTGGCCCCAATTCTGAAAACAGCTACACACAAGCTTAACTCTGAGCACAGGAGACTACTTTTGCTTAAAATTAGGCATGTGGCTATTTACAGGCTCTTCAAGAACATTTTAAAAATTAAAGGGGTCACTGCCAGTATCGGTTCCAAGTGTGCTACTTATGCTCAAGCCAGCTCTGCGTAGAGCAGAGCTCAACAGCACTGGTACTAGGAGAGCTTGAAAAATATTTTCTCCCATTTGGTAAACATCCCTAAGAAAAACATCATGGCATCCATCCATAAAATATTAATTGCAACAGATTCTCCTGGGTAATTGGGACTTCTGTCTTAGCAACGCCCTACCAAAGCGGTGAAACTCCGTGCCTAGCAGCAGTGCGGGCAGGACCGAACACGGCCTCTCACCTCTCCTAACGCCGCTCTCCCGGCTGACAGCTCCCTAGGGATGCCTGTTGACTGGTTTTGTCGCTGGGACAACGTGATTGCAAAAGCTCACACGTTTAAGCCCCAGAAGAGCCCACCGAAGCAGCGTTAACCATGAAAGAGGGTAGCATTTCTCAAGAAACACATTCTTTTGTCCCACCCGTGCGGTGCAGCCATCGCACCCACGTTTGGGTGTGGAAGTGGCCCGCGTTTAACTCTGCTCTTTGCACTGTGTGCAAGGACAATGACACGGTACAGTGACCTTATATCCCACTGCATTCAGAGCGCTGACGGGTAGAGCAGATTAGGTATATTTGCTCTACTGGGACAGGATGCAAGCACAGAAACACCACGTCATGCATGTATACATGTGTGTTGAGACAGCATATACATTCCTTACACAGGGCCACACAATAGCCCCACATGCATGCCTGGTGTATGGCATCCCAGTCTGCTATTTCTGGCCATTACAGGTGGTCGGATACCTTTTTGGATGGTCTCCTGGCCTTGCTATTAACATTTTGCTTGTACTAGACTGTTGAAGATTTTTCCTCCTATAAGAATAAAGCTCAAACCTGCTTGTGTGCATTTTATTGTCCATTGGCTATCTAAATGGTAAGATTACAGTATGGGAGAAAGGAAAATGGTCAAGGAATATCTGTGACAGGAACACTGCCAGCTGACCACAAGAACAGGATACCTACAACTCAGGATGTAGATGAGCTTATGAAAGTTTAGTCTTTTTGTGTAACTCGTTTGTATTTGCAACTTCAGCACTATTTCATAGCTGCCAAAGTCTAGATACCATGGAACTTAACTTGCCTCTCTTCTTACTGCATAAACATGACCTTGTTATGTATATACATACATCTATCAGTCCTGATGCTGGGTTTTGCATATAGTCACACAGTGAAACACAGCTGTGAGTAAAACAGTGCTGACAGAGACAGCTTGTGCTCAAAACCTAAAGCACCTAAATTTGCTGAGCTTCCTTGCCTTCAAAAACATCCTGTCACATGGGAAAGAGACCAAAATATGAACATGTATGTTCACCACTCTGCTGCAGCAACTAGAGGAATAACTGGAACACTGTCTCTGTAGATGGCTTTATTTAGAGAGCCCAGGGGGAGAGAGAGGGCCTGACTGTGTAAAAACACCCAGTAAAGCCATTAGAAGCAGCTGGAAAAGTGGAGAGAATTCAGTTGTAATGCTCACTGTTGGAAGGACCCGCATGTTTAAGAGACTGAGATTAATTTATCCTAGAAACCTTTAACTCACAGCTACGTCTCTAGTTCCCATCTTTAACAGCATAAGCAGTGTGTTTCCAGGAAGCATTAATGCTGCTCCTATTCTATTTCATATGAGGTTGTTCCTGCGAGATTGTTTTTGTATTCTCCCTCTGCCCCTGTCTCATACTCTCCACGACCATGAGGTCTAAAGTCAGTGGAAGAAGCTGAGGATGTGCCTGGGCATGCCGAGAAGCAGGTCGGCTTGAAAAGCACCCGACAGCTCGGTGCCTGGCTCCTCTCTAAGACCAGGGTGGGTGTTTCACACCGCACCAGAGATATCAGGGTCCACACAGGAGCAGCCTGAGGAAAGCTCCCTTCTGCTGCCTGCTTTACTGGGGAAAGGATCCAGCTGGGATTTTCAGGGCCACATTGAGCTTTGAACTGGGAGGAGGCTGCACATCCCCTCCCCATCACACCATCTGGGACACGCACAGCATCCAGCAGTAAGGACCGGACGAGAAGACGGGGTTCCCATCCTCCCAGCTTCTCATGGCCCTCTGCAGGAGGTAGGATGCCTGCCTGTCTTCATTACTCCTGCTACGTGCTGGAATCCAAACAGGCCTGAGTTCCCCACAGCTCCCACTTCCATCAGAAGACCCTACCCAAGATCTGCAACCAACACTTTCTCCTTGTCACACATAACACTACAGAACAGGACTGGCAAGTCCGTTTTACGGCTATTCTGCCTGTTACATTGCTACATTCACATGTGAAAAAGAGAAAAAAAAAAATACAAACCTCTCTCAATGGGGTCATTAGAACGGTTGCTCTCACAAAGGTTGTTCAGGACCAGGTCAGGCTCAGCAAAGACCTGCTGAGCAAACGCCCAAGCTGCCGACTTCTCACAGGTCTCCTCCCGTGCCTGCAGCAGTTCTGTCTGCTGGCGTTCGCGAGGTTCCTGCCGAGACAACGCCGCCTGTGAAACATTCAGGCTTTAGCTGTCACTTCTCTGATCTGGAGGAACGACTCGGCAAACAACATAACGACTGAGGACATCAGTATATGCAGCACCCGGTCCCTCCAGCCTCTATTTCTGCAAAAAGCGTTCACAGGAGAAAGTGCTGGAAAGCAGGCTCGCATGGCACCTGTGCAAGAGGAAAACCCCTGTGGGCTAGAGGGGAACTTCTTCCTTGATGTACTGGTTTTATTTTTGGTAAGCCTGGCAAGCGTCTGGAGAGTGGCCAGACTAAGCCTTTCCTGCTGCTTTAGTGTGCCCTGATCTCCAGACACGTGGCTTTACTGGCGTGGCAAACAGAGATGGCAGTTAGCCGTGGGGCAAGTGGAAGGTGGTCCAGGATTTGCTGCACTTTCCAGCATTCGTGGGTGTTTTTCTACCCTGTTTGTTATAACAAACGGGAAATCTGACTATATCCTTAGAAGGCAAGACTGACAAAACACATGTGTAAGGTTGAGTAAGAATGAATAATAAAGGCTTTCCTTTTCTGCTTACTCCTGATTGGGAATTACCAGTCACTGGTGTGGAGCACAGGGGACACGGGCTGCCCGTCTGTGCTCTCCGCCCCGGCACTGGAGATTTCTGCCCAAACCCCGCCAGGGAGAAAGAGGCCTCTGTCTTGATGGCTTTCCATCCCAGAAAAGCTGCCCTTCCTCTCCTGAGGCCTCTCCCACCCATACACAATGCCAAGGTGGAGAAAGGTAGCCACTGCTTACTTTTGCCTGGCACTGAACCAGCGTCTCGATGATCTGGGCAGTCATCGTCACCGGCTAGACAAGAGAACAAAGGCCAAGTGGGAGACGCTCCTCTGATGGTCTGTGCTAGAAAGCAGCGTCACTCCCTTGAGCCAGCTGGAACAACTTAGACACTTACAGATCTGCAGAGGCCCAAGACCGTCACAAGGAGATTAAGCGAGGGTAGTGTGGTCACTCGTGTCCCCTGGGCTGTGCTGCTTTGCCTGTGCACGGGGAATGGACAAAGGGAGAGCTCTGTGTCACTGAGCCTGGCTTTGCCCTCTCCCCTGCCAGCCCGTCCAGCACCATTTGCATCCAAACAGCCAAAGAAGTCCAGGCAGAAAAGGGGCAAGCAGAAAAGATCCAGCGATAGCTGGATCTTGACTTGCCGTTACTTTCCCAAGGCAAGGCTGAGCAGCTCGGGCAGTGCTGCCCCGCAGCTGCCCCAGCAGTGCGGGTACCTCTGCCCCAACCCTCGAGCTGCCTTGCAGCTGCAGCTGGAGCATCCCACCAACGGCCACGGTGGCACCAGAGGTTTGCTACTCCAGCAGGGCTTACCTGAGGATGGCGTCCAGCCAGAGTCCTTTCACCTCTTGCGAGCTGCAGGAGACAGGAGAACCAGTGTCACACCCCACTGCCACCAGCTAGGTGTTGTGCAGTTTTCCCTCCGGAGAACAAAGTCAAAGCCAAGGAGGGTCTGCTCATCACACAGCCTCGTCTCTCCAGGAGTCCCTTTTGATGCTGCAACTCTGCAGCCTTTGGGATGCCCCTGAGCTGAGGAGCGCTGTCGCAGACACGGGGCTTCTCCAGAGCGGGGAGCGACAGCCCAGCTCTGCCAGAACTGCGCCTGGGTTTTCCTGGGAGCAAACGGGACCGCCTGTCTGCACACAGCCCCCGCCTCAGCCCACGCCTTGCCTCACCCCTTTGACAGCGCACACCTTGTGCACGGGCTGTTTCCAGAGGGGAGAGGCTCAGCTCAGAAGAGAAGCCGAGCTGCAAAACGCTGCCCAAGCAAAGCGGTGCCTCTGCTTTCCCTCCCCGCCCCGTGCCGTGGACCTGAGGAGCCAGCTGGGCTCTGAAGGCGAGCACTGGGCCAGACAGCCCAACGCCTGGGTGACACGTCACCACGACTCACCCGAAAGTGACCCCGCAGAGGCTGGTGGGCCAGACGAGGATGAGGGTACAGCTGCAGTCCAGGCCCAACGCTGCGTCCTCTTGTGCACACGCGCACGCCGCCTCCTCCTGGCACAGCACCCACAGCTCGCTGAGACGCACCCTGTGCTGCAGCCAGAACCTGGTGCCACATCTGCAGCCAGGAAGAGCAGGGGCTGATGGTGAGCTTGCCTTCTGGGGGGGCACCCAGGGCAATCCTCCCTGGGAGAGCCGCTACAGCTGACAGAGCCCTGGGAAGGGCTGCCCAGCTTCACAGCTCACCCAAATCGGCAACATCCTTGCCCGGGACACCCCCTGACTCTGGTAGCCCTGGTTGCTGAGTGGCTGACCCTCCCCAGAAAGCCTCCCTGGGACTTTCTGGGCCATTGGAGCAGTGGCCAGCCCGAGAGGGCTTTGCGAGATGTCTCCTGAGGGCTGGTATTGGAGGCAGGAGGTGGGAAGAGAGAGTACTGCCATCCTCTCTTCTTACCTGCGCTTGGCAAAAGCAAGGGCGCCTTGGAAAAGCAGGAGGTCTCTCCTCCTCGTCCTCCCACGCCAGGTCACCTCCACACAGTCGCAGCGGAGGAGCTCGGGATGCCGTCGGGACACGAGGGCACCCAGCTGGCTGCCACCAGAGCCACCCCTGCAAAGGACACGGTTGCGGGCGTGAGGCACGCGGCTCTGCCGGGAACAGGCCGTGCCCGGTGCCAGAGGGACAGAGCAGGCGCGCACCAGGAGAAGCAGGAGGGCAGCTGGCCCATCGTGCTGCGGCCAGGCAGACACTTGGGCTGTGGAAGCGCTCAGCACGGGGAAGAGCAAGGCCCCGCAAGGCCTTCCGAGGCTGGGCAGCGATGTCCCCGTGCCAGGGTGCTCCTGCCAGAGCCCGTCTCTCCCCAGCACTGCCCGCGCCAGCACAGTGCCGCACCGGGAGACACTGGTGTCCGTGACACCGCTGGTGCCCCTTGTGATGCGCGGGGGGGCCACGCCCAGGGCGGGGGCACACAGCGGGCGGGGGGGCTCCGGGGCACCAGGAGCTGCTCCTACTCAAATGGCTCTTCCCACACTCCCAGCAAACAACAGGAGCTCCCTCCAAGCTGAAGGTCCTGAACAAGGCAGAAAGCTGCGGGCAGGAGTCCCCTCGGAGCCAGGAGAGACGCTCTGTGCCCGGCCCCTGCCAGCTGAGCCAAGGCCTTCCAAAAGGCCCTTCAGCACCTCGGCTCCTGCTGCCGCCACCTCTCCGCGCATGGTGATGTTCAGTCCTTCCACCTGGTCCTCCAGACTGGGCCCAGGGCTCAGGCCAGCCTTGGCGAGACTCTGCGCTGCAGAAAAATGGGTAACAGCCTGGCTTTCCTGCTCCCAGCAGGCTGCGCACAGGCAATCCTCGGCAGCAAAGCGCTGACAGCTGTGCTTAGGGAAGACACAAGAGCGGTGAGCTGAGGTCCCGGTGAGCACGCCAGTGTCAGCCCAGCAGTCCCACCAAAGCTGTCAGACTGCCCCAGAGCCCAGCCCCTTCGGTGCCACAGTGCATTTCTCTGCTTGGGCTGGCTCACAGACCTCCTGTCCCAGGGCACGAGCATCATGCCACAGGCCCAGCGTCCTCGAAGGCACCTACCCGAAATGTTCTGCTGATAGCAGAGGCGTGTCCATGCCCGAGAGCTGCTCAGGACTCCTGGCAGGCAGCTACCGCAGTCCGTTTGCTGCCTTTGGAGCAAGCTGAGCTCCCAGGTAGCCGCCCCAGACTCTTCTCTCCGGGAGCGGGGCCTGAGCGGGGCGGGGGTGCTGTCATTTGCTGCCAAGTAAAAAGGGAGCAGCGGCATCCCTGGGAGCAGCCCAGGGGAGCTGGTTCTCTTCCGAGGCCACCAAAGCAGCCTGCCTCTGCCCCCAGTTTTGGGGGAAATACAGAGTGGCGCAGAGACGTTCCTCAGTTATTCAGAAGAGGGGCTGGGGTGGCCTTGGATGCCTCCATGTGATCTCAGAGGGAACATGGTGGGTGTCAGCCCACAGCGCGGTCAGGCCTTGGTGATCCCAAACTGCTGTGTGTGTAGGAGGAGCCAGGGAAGCTCGGGGAGTTTCTGGGGTTTCTGGGGGCAAGACATGGTGGTGCTGCATGGAGAAACTCCTGGGTCCCTTCCCATGGCTGCTGTTCCCCTGCTTTCCTCTGCAAGGAAATCCTTGATGGACTGCAAGGAGGAAGAGGTGGGAAGTGCTGCTTTCCACGCCGGGGGCCGCAGTGGGGAGGTCTGTCTGTGCACAGTGGGGTGTGAGCAGAGGGGTGAGGGGAGGAGGGCTCCCTGACGGGAAGCAGCAGAGTCCTGGGGCCTTTCTGCAGGGAGGGCTGGGCCACCAGCATGGGGAGAAGCTCTCTCTCCTCCGGAGTGAGCCCTTCTCCCGTGGGGCAGAAGGGAAAGGGAAACCCCTGCCAGCGGGAAGGGCAGGCCAGTGTTCAGGAGATGCTGAGCACTAGGCAGACCTTCAGCCCTCCAAGCAGAGCCTCTCCTTCCCTCTTCAGGACAAGCAGGCTGTCCTTGGGGCGGTGGCCGCCAGGACGGGGGTCCTTCTGGGTGAGGAGCAGCACCGCGAGCGTGCCTGGGAGCAGCTCCTCTGGCTCTTGCACCAAGATCAGGAGGTGCGAGACACTCCCCGGGTCAGCAAGGTGAGGTGTTGCGCAGGGCCCGGCGTGGCTGCTGGAGTGGGTCTGTGCCCGTGCCACGAGGCGCTGGGGAGCTGTGGGGTGCCAGGAGGAGCTGAGAAGCCCTTAGGGAAGGATCGGGGAGAGCAGAGGAGGCCTGAGGCTCTTTGGGCAAGAAAAGAAAAACCTTGGGTTCGGGGCATGAGGGAGGCAAGAGTCCTTAGGGCTCATCTCCTCAGGAAGGGAGGCACTGCCACCTCCCTGGGGCTCTGTGCAGGAAGAGCTTTGCCCTCATGCCCAGGGCCATGTCCAGTGCTGTCCAGTGAGGGCCGAGGTCTGCTGAGTGGGAAGTGCCAGGAAACAGAGTTGTCAACACCGGGCTCTGTTCAGAGGCAAGAGCCAACTCTGCGCTTGTCTCTCTGGGACTTGTGGGACTGGATAAAGGGGAAGCCCTGGGACTCCCCGGTGTACTACGTGTTTCATGTCCTGGAGAGGTTGAGGTGAGGTCTGTTCCCCGGGCTCTGGGGATCCCCAGTGTGCCCCAGCCAGTGGCCTTGAGCATGGAGCCAGGAGCTGCTGGGGCTGCGGAGTGGGTATTCCCCACTTCATATGTCTCCCAAAAGAAGGGGAGCCCCAGGGCTTCCTTAACCTGGGGGTGGGGGTTTGCCTGCTGCCTAGGAGGAGGCAGGAGTTGTTGGTGCTGAAGGCCCTGCTTGCTGGCATGGGCTGGGGGTGCTGGGTTTGAGGTCCTCGATTAGGGTGAACCCAGCTGTGGTTGAAGGCACTCTGGAGAGGGCTAGTAAATCTCCTTTCTGTTTTCTCTTCCTTTCTCCTCTGGCCAGCAAGCTGAGGCCACCTCTGAGCAGGGAGGAAAATCACAACCTGCTGTCAGTGTGCTGCCAGAGTGTCCTGGTCTGTGCTTCCGAGGAGCAGGTGAAGGAGGACAGGAAGACAGTGAGGGCAGCTGTGAGCATGCGGGTACCCCCCGGCCAGCGCCTGCCCACCTCTGGGTCAGGATCCCACCTCAGCACACCCTGGCTGCCCCCGGGATGCAGAACCTCAACTCTCCTTTCCTGATTTTAGCTTCTGCGTGGGAGAAACCTGGAAGATCTGGGCCTGCTCAGAGAAACCCTCTGGAGGCAGAGGTGACCTCCGCCGGCTTTGACTACGTGGTCCCTGTGAGTAGCCATGGGGCAACAGGGAAACTGTTGTGGGGGCAGAGAATCGAGGCCTTAGCAGGTGATAGGAGGTGGACACGTTTCCTAGAGGAAGGTGGGGCTTTGGCTCCTTGCTCCAGGGCTGTGCGTCTGGCCGGGGCCAGGGACTGAGCTGGGGGGCAGGAGCCCCCAGCCACTGCAGCCTCAGGACAGGCAGAGAGGTGGGTCCTGATGGAGGGAAAGCCAAGAGCCAGCCCTGAGCTGGGCGAGAGCAGCCTGGGGGAAGGCTGGAGCGGGGAGATGCTGGCCGGGAAGCAGCACCTAGCTCAGGGCAGAGTCAGCAGGAGAGAGCGGGGCAGCGAAGGCTGCAGTGCCAGGGCTTGGTGGGGCTGGGGGCTGTGCCGGGAAGGGGCCAGAGAAGGAGGGAGTAGGATCTCAGGGAGCGAAAGATTCCTGTTATGAGAGAGATGCACCTTGCCCCAGGTCCTGAAGGGCTCGCTCACCTCGGCCAAGGAATGGGAACGGGAGAGAGCCCTGTGGGTCTGTGCCCACATGCTGGGTGCTTGCAAGGAGCGACTTGAGCTCATGGTGAATAGGGACCCCTGTGTGCCCTGGTGCCCTGTTACCACCATTCATGCCCCTGGAAGGGAGCCCTGCCTGATGGGGTGCTGGGTTTCGGGTCTCCTGGGATTACGGGGCAGCCCTTCTGTCTGCCCCTCTGCCCGGTCGCTGCTCAGGGAGCAGGGTGGGTGGTAGAGGCGAGCAGGTGCTGGGGCTGCCTGCAGCCCTTTTCCTGCTGCTCTCCCCTGCAGAGAGGATGTCCTTGCAAGCAGTTCAGCTCCCTGGTGGGGCTGCTGGGGTTTCTGATTGCGGAGCGGCAGAGGAACGATATGCCGAGACGGACTCAATGTGGGTGATAAAGCATCGTTCAATTTATTGGTCCAGGGTACATATATTTATACAGACAACGCTAGTTATTATGCCTACTACTCACTAGCTGATTGGCTTAAGCTCTAAAGGTCGTATTCGCACGGTCCAACTACTTGCAGTTAGCTTACAGCACAAGCTTCTCATAACACTAAGTTTCTCATGCTACTATTTCTGATTCCTCTTGACTTGTTTTCGATACACGACAGTACCGTAACACAATGTTTCTCAGACCACCGTTATCATAACACTAGGTTTCTCAGACCACTATTCCTAATCCCCCTTAACCTGTTTTCGACACACCACGGTACACAAGGCCGAAGCATCCTTGACATTCCTCCTGTATCAGCAGCTGCGAGCAGCTGCAGGCAAACCCTAGTGAGGCCCAGCATCAGCGAGGCAGCATCAGCCCCTAGAACAGGCTCTGATCGTACAACTGCTCGGTGGGCTCAGGACCCTTGTCTCTGAGCCATTCTCCAACATCTGATCACCGACTGCATGGCCATGTCCTGCCAGAAGGCATTGGTCTGCCTTGGCTACCTTCTGCAAATGCAGGGTGAGGAGAGCAGATGCTTCCCATCCTCGCTTAGCCTGATGTCTTGGTTTGGGCTGAAATAGAGTTAATATTCCTTTTCAGGGACTAGATGAGTGCTGTGTTTTGGATTTAGCTTTGGGTTTGGTATGGGAAAAATGCTGATAGCACACTGATGTTTTCAGCTGCTACCGAGACTTCAAGGACTCTCCGACTCCCCATGTCCTGCCCATGCGCCAGGGCACAGGGAGCAGGGAGGGAGCACGGACAGAGCACCTGACCCAAACTGGCCAGTGAAATATTCCATATCATGGAACCTCATGCTCACTGTATAAAGGAAGGGTGGTTGGGAAGGAGCTCTCTCTCGCTTCCAGGGTTGGGATTGTGGGATCTTGGTATCTCGGGGTCGCTGGCCGGGAACGGGCTGGGTATTGGTCAGCGGGTGGTGAGCAATTATGCTGTACATTGCCTGTTTATATATTTCTTTTGTTTTCCCCCCATCATCGTTATTGCTCTCATTTTATTGCCATTATTAAACTGTTCTTATCTCAGCCTGCGAGTCTCCCTTCACCCCTCTGATCCCCTTCCCCATTCCCAGGTGGGGAGGGGGAAGGGAGGGTGACCAGCTGCGGGGGTTGGCTGCCGATCAGGCCCAAACCACAACACCTTATCCTCCGTTCCTGGCCTGGCACCACGGGGGTCCCACGGGGCCAGGCCCCATTCCCAGCAGGGCAGGGGGAGGCAAGGTGCTCGGCTGGTTTTGTGCCCCCACCCTGTTAGCCCTCTGCTTCCCCGGCCATCTCGGGAAGGATTCCTGGGAGAGGGTCTCTGAGTCCCACCTCCCTGGGGTGTGTGTGAGGCTGGGTGGTCTGGGCCATCCCTCACAGCTGTCTGAGAGCAGGACATTGCCACCAATGCTGGTGAGTGTTCCCCTCCACGGGGAGGAGAGACAGAGGGTTGTTTGACAGCTCTCTTGGATGAGGTCCCCAATGTTTCAGAGGGTGCCGTCCCCCTCACTGCCTGCCTTCAGCCTGGAGAGATGGGCAGTCTCCAAATTCAAGAAACCGCTGCCTGTGTGCTGAGCCAAGGAGCTACTGATGGTTTGAGCCATGCATCAGCACCTGCTGCTGGCACCTGCTCCAGCTGATGACCAGGATAGGGGCGCTTCTTGTCCAGTCTCCCACTGGTCCCGGTCCTTCCCATGAGCGAAGCACTGGGAGGCACCAACCTTGCCGTTCCTCCCCTTCCTGCGGGGTCACTCGCAGTCCTCCCTGCCCTGGGACCCACTTCACCCTGCTCGCTCTTCCCCGGTCCCCAGTTCCCTCTACTCTGAGCTTTGCTGGGCACGCTAGGTTTTCCGCAGGTTGGACACTTGTTCGTTGCTCTCGGTGCTTTCCCCGGC